ACAGTCTTCCAATTTCGTTTGCATTAGGATAAAGCATTAGGTTGCTTGATTGTCTACCAAAATCCGCACTGGAATCTACACAATTGTTATGGAGTGATTTCTTTTTCGTGACCGGGAGATCAGTGACTGAAACATGCGCCTTTTGTCAACTTCCTAATTCTGATCGAGCACATCGATTATCAAACAAGATCCCTCCGGGTGGTGGTGGGGGTCTAGATAGAACATCTACACAATACTATCTATTTTAATCCTATTGTGTAGAGTAAAAGTTTCCACAATAAATGATACCAATTGCCGATACGAATGACTGGTGTACCGATCTGGGCAGCAGATTCCAAACTTCATTCCCCATCCACCTCCCCTCCTATCCTAAACTTCGGAATAGTTGGCATTTATGTACTTACATGCGTCTCATGATTGGTCGACAATGGAACGAAGTTTTTGCATTCAGAACTGTATTTCAGAATGTTATACACACGATCGAATATTTGTCTCGCTAAACTGATTAAAATGGACCTAGATAACTGGTAGAACACTCATTCGGTTATTACTTTGTACAGTAGTTGGAAAAGTTCGTGTGGAGGGAGAGGAGCAACCGAATTGTCACAAAGTGACCTCATGGGTTCCAAGGAATCTTCAAATGAGGAGTAAAATACCACAAGTTTCCCATTACATATCGTCTTGAGTGTTGTTCTGCACTATCGGATTGCTCCTTCAAACTGGTAAACAAGCGATGTCTGTGAAAATGCACTTTAGATTTAAAATGAAGGAAATGGATGCTAAAACTCTCACTACTAATGAAGAATGTTGAACTTAGAATGAGTTGAACTTAACAGATTTTGTTGACGGTGAAAATATCTACAACCTTAGTGGAATTCGAACCCACGCACGGGCGCCGCCTGCAGTAGTTATACCAGCTAAGCTGCGAGCCTATGCTGTTTAAATCCCACTGACGCCAATGTCCTTTTCACAGTGCAAAGATAAAGATATTTTCAATTCTTTATCCGAAATACACACGAATATTATAATAAGATTCCGTTATTGTTAGTTAGATATTGATTTCACTAGACATTAAAAATTACCAACTTTTATACATACATCTAAGCCAGTCAATTTGTTCTTTCAGATGCGATGCGTTGAAGAGGTCGCTGTTATCTATTCACAGATAGTTAACGATTGAACGTGCTGAGTGCAACTCGTTTTAAAGTTGGTTTCAAGGAAAATAATCTGAATTTATGTAATCTCAACTAGTGTGCTAACAAGCAAGCGCTCATAGACACAAGTTGCGGATTCGTGAAATAAGCTGTCCAGCAAATGGAATTTAAGTAAAAGTAGTTCAGTTAAGTTTAAACAACCATTAAGCATGCACTTCCATTCGTCGCATTTGTTTGTTGTCTTTTGGATGAACAATAGGAGGCGCGTGTGAAATCGCCCTGATAAAAGTTACCCACGGTAACGGAAACGTCGACTTATTTTCGCCTGCACCGATATCGCTGTGTTTTCAAAATTGCAACGTAAATAAAACATATCATATGGCGCATCGATTTTTCGAGACACTCCAGAAGTCGTTCGGATCCGACACTCGGAAAACAGGGAGGTTGAAGGTAGGATCGGAAAGAAATTGAGAACTTCAGTGGACTAATGATGCAAGGAAATTGAGAAGATGCACGAACTTCACTGTTTACGACACCCAGTCATATCACTCATTGTCTCTAACCATCTGTTACTATCATCCCGAGGTCACTAGTCAGGGAGCCTAACGGGATCAATGTGACTCAGACTCCTGGTCAGGGTTTTCACACACCCCATGCCAGGTCTTGGCTTGATCACCCTCGGCTTTATTCCACCCACTACATGCCTCGGTAAACATCGCTCGTTGTTGCAGCCTATCTGGAAACATCTCTAACACATGCCCCAACCAACTTAATCTACGGAGGTCGACCACTCGCTCCAGTGGGCGACCGCAGTTGCCCAAAACTCTGCGCCTAACCTCAGCATTGCTCGTCCGGCTTCCCCACCAGATTCGTGCAATGCTGTGGAAATCAGTGTAAAATATGTTATCCTTGAATTGAAGACAGGCCTGAGTTCCACCCGTCACCCCCGTTCACCCATTGTGTGTGTCCATTGTGTGTCGAATAATCGTAACTTATTTCCTCCTCTGTCCCTGCCTGCCCTATTAGCTGATGTTGCACTCCTCAAACCGTACCTCGATCATGGTATGAATAAAGAGACGGAAGACTCCTGTGATCGACCACTGTGGAAACTGATCGATTCCAGCCCGGCTAATTCTGCGCAACCACCGATTGTATCGACCACACGCAATTTCACCGTCTACTTCGGTCAGGCGTATTCTATCACCAAGCTCGGACTGATCATGGGTCAAGCGGATGAGACACCTTCGGATGTCAGTAAGTTATCCATTTGATGAAACATATCTGCGGGGGTTCAATTTTTCTCTCGGTCAGTTCAACCAGAATAGATCCATAAAATGTGATGCACTACCCAGATGCTATTAGGAGCATGAAACATGTGACTAAAATGCAGGAAATACCAACCGGAAATGGCAGTTCCGTTCAGTTTAGTTTTTGCAACAATTAACCATGCATTTTCATGCGCCGGTTTTGATAGCTGTATCATGACTACCTATTCAAACGAGAATGTGAAGGGAATGCTGAAATGTTCAAATCTGTATCAGATTGAAATAAAA